CTTTTCCAAGTTCGATATCCGACACGGTTTTCACCACGTCGGAGTCCGGCCGGAGGACCGACCCAAAACCGCCTTTGTCCTGTTTGAGGGCACGTGGCAATGGGTCCGGTGTCCCATGGGAATTTGTAACGCCCCTGCAACATTTCAGCGGGCCATGAATATGGCCTTCGCTGAGTTCGTTAACAAAACCCGACTGACCCAGCCCCTGATCAATTTCTGCGTGATTGTGTACATGGATGATATTTTGGTCTTTTCAAAAACACACGAGTACCAGTGGAACACATTGAGTGGGTTTTGCATGCACTGAAAGATGCGGGGTTCAAAGTGGCCTTGGAGAAAAGCGAGTTCTTCTTGTCGGAGATCTCATTCTTGGGGTATATCGTCACGGTCGATGGACTAAAACCGGATCCGAGGAAGGTGGCAGCAGTTCAAGACGCCCGGTGCTGATCACACTCACCTAGGTTCGGGCTTTTCTAGGGCTGGCATCCTATTACCGACGCTTCATCAAGGGGTTCGGCGGCTTAGCGAAGCCCCTCACGAACCTGCTGAAGAAAGAGGAACAGTTGATCTGGACGCCGGAATGCGAAGCGGCGTTTCAGGCGTTGAAGGAGGCTCTGGCATCTGCTCCTGTGGTGGCGCGCCCCGACCCGACAAGACCGTTCGCACTGTACATAGACTGGCAGCCTCAGGCGATATCGGCGGTGCTGACTCAGCACGGCAAGGACGGAAGGGAGCACGTCATTGAGTATGCGTCCAAGATGCTGAGCCAGGCGCAGGCTAATTACGAAGCGTGCAAAGGTGAATGCCTGGCGGTGGTGTGAAAGATTCAATATTTCCGACCGTGTACGGCCATAAATTCGTGCTGGTTACGGATCATCAGCCGCTGCTGTCCCTACGCAACAACACGGATTACACGGGGATGCTAGGCAGGTGGGCGGTGCGTCTGCCAGACTATGACTTCGACATCCGCCACCGTGCCACGCGGCAGCATGGTAACGCTGATGGATTAACGCGCCTTCTGTCGGCCAACAAGTGTCCCGCCAACGAGCGACTCATTCCGTAGAGGCCAGAAGTCTCGGCGACGAAACCACACTACGGGGAGCTACACGTGCTGCGTAAGGACGACGCCTGAGTCCGGAATGGAGGTCTCATCGGAGATGGCCGACGCTATCTCTCTGCCCTCATCCCACTCCCTCGCTCTCTCGTCTAGCCCCAACTCGTCCTCTGAAACACACCTAAGTCCCTGTTTCTTTTGTACCTTGCCTATGATCCCGGACCAAGAAGGGTCACATCCGGGAGGGCCCAGTTTTCTTTTATGGGTACAGTGTAGTCAGTGTCATACGGTCAAATCTCACGGATAGTGCGTTAGGTACCAAAGTGAAAAGACATGGGTCTGTCCCAACTGTAGAACGGACCAAGTCCCTACCGAGAAGCGGTATCTGGACGCTAGAACAGTCGACGGATTTGCGCCAAGTGCCCGCCGGGCAGAAGCCTGGACGGACCTTCTGTTGCTACGGAGACTGTCAGGCGACTCATTGTCAGAACTTACCAAAACCGAACGGCGGAGAGTCACGGAGCGGGCGCAGGACTACGGCTGGCAAGGCCCGATGTTACAAAAACGGAAGGTCGATGACGACGGAGAGTCTAGCTGGTTGACGGTTCCACACCCTCTTGCTAGGTTCGATTGGACACGAGCCTCTCATGAGGAGGATGCGGTTCATTTCGCGGTCAAGTACACGGAAAAAGCCATCGAAAAGAATGGATGGTACTGGTCGGGAATTTGGGAAGATGTGAAATACATCGTTCAAAATTGCCCGGCCTGCGCGGCGGACAAGGCGCCGATACAGATGCCTCGGACGATGGTGCCCACTCGTGTAGAGCGCCCCTTTCAGAGGGTTAGCATCGATACGACGGGTATCAACGTTCCGAGAGGGCCCGTCGATCAGGGAGAACTCAATGTTCTTTTAGTGGTCGTCGATCATTTTTCAAAATGGACCGAGGCGTACCCTATGACCAGCCGGAATTCGCAGGAAGTAGCCTGCTACGTAAATCGATTTTTGTGCATGCATCTAGACGTAGAAGAGGTACACATGGACAATGGGTCGAAATTTCATGGCGAAGTAGAATGTCACCTAGTCAGGGCGGACGTTAAGATTATCTACTTGCCGGGGCATTGGCCTCAAGCCAATGGCCTGGTAGAGAATGCCAACCGACTGATTAAGACGGCCCTTAGACGGAATATCACTGCGGGAGATACCTGACCCTGGTCGGTCATTGTCGATCACATTTTGGCCGTTTATCGGGCTACCCCACACGGTAGTACTGGGGTGTCCCCCTTTCAACTAAGAACCAATAGTGTCCCTATGGTGCAATTGTCCCCCTTAGTAGGTACGAAAGTTAGAGCAACACGGGCCCAGAATCGAGACAAGGCCCGCCACTACATGGACTTAATGGCTAGGGCCTATCCCCCGTTAGCTCGCCGTCGACAGCAGGCCGTAGATCGGACACATCAACGGCAGATCCGTGACTACGAGAATCGACACGCGTCGGCGGGACCACTGCCCCGCTATAAAGTTGGGGACTTGGTGCAGGTACGAAAATCTGCG